AAGAATTAACTTTGACTCCTCTTTGATATTCCGTTTGGTATTCCGAATTCGATTACTTCGAACTCTGGCCCAAGGGGGAATGGAGAGGATAGCTCCTGGTGCATAAACTTGAGGCACCCAACAGCCCAGTCCTCGGCAGGAACCTAGCTGATCGATTTCTCGATGCACAAACCCATATATCGTTAGTATCTAGTCGTTCACCCGCTATCCAAATGCCTTTTACTAATTGGAATTGCGAGGATTCATTCCGATTACCTATGTACACTTCAGCTAGCGATAGATAGGAATATTTCAGTGGTTGCCCATCCAAATAACACCACTCAAAATATTAATTCAAAATATTACAGCTAAAAATGTATCGACAAAACACACATTATTTCGAAACATTACAAGAGCAAAAAAAAAGCATTATAATATTTTTTATATTTTTTTTTAATCATATTTGGTAGGTAATTGTCAATCACCCCGAATTTTTGCTGGCTACAAGTTTCCGTCAATATACCAATATTCTTTTTTTATTATTTTATGATTTTTCTGCTTGGAAGACTGTAGGAATTTACAACTAGAAATTTTCATGGAGTGTACCAGAAATTTCACAACCAAAGTTTGGCTAGAGCCCCCAGATTTGGAGGGGGAAGTGCCTACATCGACCTGGAAATTCGATGAAGTAGCCGTCATTTTCCATCAGAGTTTCCCGATGTACTTGCACCCGGTAATTAGCCAAAACAATGGCTGCGGACTCTCGGTAAACTTCTCATTAATCAAATCCTGCCGTCTTTCAAACACTGCCGGTTCTCCATTAGTTAGCATGCGACACTGATGCTTTTGTATGGATCGACCCTTGAGGTTCTTCTGCCTCATTCAGCTGGATCTCCCGATGTCGACTCATTTTTTCACGGTGATGAGAAACGTCTAGTTGGAGATTTCCAGATAGGGTTTCAGAAAAATTGAAAACCAGAGAAAACGAAAAAAAGCCGGAGAACTACGCCCATAAAAGCCGCACCTACATACAGATATATAACACACGAGAAGTGCAGTGAAGTAGCGGCGATTATGAATGCCGGACCATCGACCCGAGTCTCTTTCGCTCCAGGCCTCTGGCACGAAAGACCAATGTGCAAACTTGCCCCAGTTTCCAAAGGCGCTCTCCTCCCTTTTCTCCCATCATGTGTCGGTGGTTGTACACTCGGCTTTTGTGTTGAATTTAGCCGAGAAAATTTTCCACCTTCATCTTTCGTTGACATCTGAATCTTTGATAGTTCCCCTCCTCACGGACACGCCTGCTCATGAAACTGACGGAGGGGAAAATGTTTTCTAGGTATCTATTTATTTTACATTTTTGTATGGTAAGAAGATGGAAAACTGGTGCGCACGCTCTACTTGAAGATATCTAACTACCTTCTATAGTTACCCATAAATCGTACACTTTTCAAAAAATTTCCATTCAGTTTTCAGGATTTCTCATTAGAGATTTCATTTCAGGGAATTCCGAGATTAAAATTCCAATTAACTAAAACTAAACATTTTATTCAGAATCGAATTGAATTGAATTGAATTGAATTGAATTGAACTTTCGAATCAATTCAATTTTCCTGTCCTTCCACAGAATCTCAGCCTGCGACAATCGAGGAAACCTCAAAAAACCGTGACACCCATATTACCGTGAAAAAAAAGGCGACGATGAAATACCAAATCTTACCTCGCACTGACCGACATTCAAATGAAAGGAATAATTCCCGGAATGCCTGGTGTGCTTGAAAATTAATTGAGTATTTCCCTCAGGTCAGCCTGCTTAACATGTGCGTGCAATCTGGCCGAAAATCCCTCCGGCAAGTACCGATATTTAGCTACTGTCAAACTCGATGCACATACTGCAAAGCAACACTCGATAAATACCCGATAATATTGCAGTGGATCTGAACATCAACGATGAACAAGAGATTAGTCTATGAACAAGTCAAGACATCAACGACAACTGGACCAAAGCTAATACCACCGAATTTTTCCATCGATCTAGCACCTGAGCCCTCAATCATCCCGAACTACCGCATCCCCCTGAATCATCCAATCATTCCTCGAGATTCACTCGTTCCTCGGAACCATCTAGAACGCAATTTGCTGTGTGCTCTATTCACCGTTTCGCCCATCACACTGGATAGTATACGTTCGCGTATCAGACACGTATGGAGGCAGACAGAATATACAGAACACTAAATGCCACTATCGGAAATCGATATCGGGGAGCCACAGCCGGCAGCCACTCTTTGCCCGCTTTTCCTCTCCCCCTTTCACCCCCTTTCCCACCCCTTCCCCTCTTTTCCTTTCGCATTTGCCTGTATATGCCTCGACGTTTGGAGAACATCGACGGCATGCATTCGTCCATTAATACCCACGTCAAAGATTTTCCGTAATACCTACAGTTCCCAGGAATACATCGCCCTATTGCAATGATTAGGAGAAAAAAATCTGGAATAATCAACTCGCCGTCTAAAATCAGTCACCAAGTCTTCAAGAGAGATAATTCAATATTCCCAAAGTGGAACAACCTGGCGAAGTCCATTTTTTCATCGGATTCAAGTCAATTCGTCGGCTACTGATCATAATTCTCTGAAATGCCTCATCTGCTGACAATTTTGATTTTCGCCAAATGAGACTTGATTTCTGTCTTGAACCCGAGGCAAATGAAGTGCCGGGATAATTTAATTGGATTTGAGTGAGAGCGATAATTACTGTCAGGTAGAAGTGTCAAAACATATTTTTCATCGGAACTAATACGTACTTTAAAATAGTTCAATTTTTTCATCTTGATTCGACAGTTGACGAGATGAATCCGGCATTGAGAAAAACTTTCAATTCCACTTATCTCATTCCATTTCTGGGGATGGCAACAGCATTTTTTATTCAGGACTGAGGGATCTTGTGGATTTAAACAAAGTAACCGAAAGAATTTGAAACTCGTGAATGCCGGAGGACACGTACACAAGTCGATGTAACCCATGTACCCATGGTTGGTGTACATTTTATGCCGACGAAGGCGGTGGCTATGCAATCTCTATAACATGTCCTTCCTTTCTCGCTCGTTGTCCCTGTCATATCGTCACGAGGTTTCACGGGCTCTTTGCAGCCTGTATATAATGTACAGTCCCCTGGAAATGAGTATAAGACCAGCCATGACTGCACCGTTGTTTCGTCGGTACAGAAGAGGATGGACTCCAACTCGTACTCATTTTCAGGGATTAGATGGATTTATAACTCCGCTTGTGCTTAACCAACGGGCATTTCCTGCATTTTCTTGTTTTTTTTTTCTCCCCCTTTAATTATGCAGATTATAGTTAATTTTGGTTTATTCGGGTGCTGAGGGATTTCGTATCCCTGGGAAATCAGAGCTGAGAGGTCCATTATACTTGCACTGAGGATGAGGCGATTTGAAAGGTTAGGAGTTGAATTGCCGGACACTTGCCTTCCTCCTCCCTATGTATATCGAGTACATAGGGTGGGGGTGGAGAGGTCAGCGGCCGCGAAGTCTCGCGCGAGACTTTACTCCTCTCGTTGCTCTCCTCAACTCTTTGGCCACTTGGGGGCCCAACTATATCTACTTCACCTCCGCCTAACGCTCAGGTGATATTTCATTCTTCATTGTTTTTGTTAATTGGCCAATTGGGACTTATCCCACAGTACCAATAGTCAAAGAAAACTATATTATACCACTGCCGGAAAATAATCTTTTCTGTAAATCAACTTCAAATTTCCACATACAACAATAGAGTATTTGATTTTTCAATCGCGAAACTCACGGAAACGTCAGAAAATTGAAACAAAAATTTTTGCACAGTGCAATTATTAATCTCTTGTCCCCTGAACGCACAAAAAATTATCAAAAATATCATTCTATTTTTATTCCCGCCGATAAAAAAATATCACGCAAAACCCCAATTCGTTTTTTCACTGGCAATCGTAATTTTGCAATCACTTCTTTATTAATAGAAATGAAAGTTTTTTGTGTTTCAATCTGTTTGCTTTGTTCTCCACGAGAACGTTTTTTTTTTTTTTACAATATTTCGTTCATCACGTAAGTGTACACTGCCACTGTTGTAAAACCGTTGTGATTAACGATTGCAGCATCGCGAATATTAGCCACAATATAATCACGAGAGACTTGACGTGCAAACGGGTAGACGTGCCCGCTATTCGCCCGGTGGATTACCTCTCTACGTATTTATGTTAATAACGCTGAAATTCCCGAGTAGCACTCTACTGTTACAATGGCCTGCCTTCACCAGTGCGGATATCGAATTGGCATGGCAGCGATGAAAATACCAAGAATTTACGTTAACGCTCTTGTCGTTTGACCGTTTGATATTTCGAGTGATTTACCAGAAATGCTCCAAGTTACCATACCAGTATGTCATTAAGTCCACCATTGCAAAATCCAAATAATCAATACACCGATGACTATCTTCACATTAATTTGTGCGAGTAAATCGCTTGATCAACGATTCCTCGATTGCAGCATTGAATTTTATTGAATTTTTTCGAAATTGAAAATTTCATCGAATTGTTACCTTCATTTTCAAAATTTTCTATCACTAATTGATGAATAGGCTAAGAAATTAGTGCCTCATTTTAGTAACAAAATGCAGGTAAATTCCATGCACAGTAATTAAATTCATGAAACATTGTGTTATTTAATTTAACTAAAAAAGGGGTGCGCCGCGTGTCTGTGATCGGCTGATAATTTATGTATATTGAATTTGATCATTACGTATTCATTTATTCATTGAATAAGAACGAATATCCGGTCTTATTATGTTTAGAATTGTGATAAAATTTGGGAAATGTTTCTTCATAATTTTTCCCACCGAAAATTCAGGGGTACGATCAATAATTAATTTATTCGAATTAATGTATCGAATGAGAAAATTTACATTTCATTTCTCCTGACGATTAAATATGTAAAAATTCAGCATTTGGATTAAATGAGAAATTTTCTATTGAATCAGGTATCAGCTGGTCAGCACATGCAGTTGACTGGTGATCTAAAGCCAGGGGTATCTGTGGCTGCACAGCAGGGGATGTACTTCAATCAGCAGCAGAGTCAAAATCAAACTGGGCCAAATGGCCAAAATGACACATACTGCTCTGTATCGCAGTCGCAGACAATTAATTTCACACAACAGAGTCTGAGACAACGAGGAACGGGTGGGGGTGGTGTTCCTCAGGGGGCTCAGGGTGCGCCAACTGGACGGGGTCATCCCCAGCAAGTGCCACCGGGACAAGTTGATCAGCATCAGCACGCCAAGTTGCTTCAGCAGCAGCAGCAGCAACAGCAAATGCTCCGGGCTCAACAACAGCATGTAAGTTGGATATGTAATTATAATGATTAGGGGCATGTACTGGGAGAAGGAATTTTAACATTTTACCACTGATTCAATCAACGTATGGAAGAGTACATATTTTCATGGCAATTATTTATCGCGGTTAAATTATCTTCGTTTTAATTGCGGGGGAGAATTTTGTTTTCAACACGAGGAATCGCGACTTCGGACGGGGTCATCGTACCTTTGGAATATACCAACAATTTTAACGTTCAGAGAAAAGATTATTGAATTTTATATGGAAGTGGTATAACGAGATTAATCAATTTCATGGAGAGGTTGAGTTTTGTTGCATATTTCGCAGTTTTAGAGAGTCGCCACTTTTTTCGGAACAGTTTTTTTCATCGAAGTTTTTTTTTCTATTAAAATTTAACCCCATTTGGGTGGTTCACTACTTTTTTTGTACACCGAATTTTACTATGAGTCGATCTCAGTATAAAAAAATCCAATGGCTTGGATGATTTCAATTATCCATCCACCAACAGCGGATGTCGAAGCCAGATAATATCCTCTGCGAAATGTAATTTGTGCGGCGCGGAATATTCATGATTTTTTTTTTCAAATTTTTCTGGCGTCTTGGTTTTTCCCACACAATCTATGATTGGAAAAGTATATGTAATGTATATAATAACGAATGGATATTTTGAAAAAAAATCAAATGTTCATTGAAAAATATACATTCCCACGTAAAGCGGGCTAATTAAAAATACTTCCTTATACAAAATGCAAGTGAATATAAATTATCCCTTATCGTATCTATCCTGTACGTAAACTGCGAAATAAAGTTTAAAGGAAAATTCACCCTCAGGCTGCAATAACCCGAAAAAACGGGATGAGTCAGTAAAAAGTCTGTAAAAAAGGGGTAATTTTGACTGGAACGTCGGGATAAATTAGCTGATAAATTTCAGTACATGTGCATTGAAGAGAAAATTAAAAGAATAAAATACGCGTAATACGCAACAGGTCTTCATGGCCTCTATCTTGGCAACTTTTGTTCCATTCAAGTGAAAAGAAACGCGGAGTTATAACTAAGGAGAGGAGGTCGGTTAACGCCAGTACGAAGGGGAAGTGGTCGCTGATACAATGAATGAAAACCTCTTTTCACATCGAGAGCGATTGAGAGGACGGCGGGTGCGTAAACTTCCTGCAGGAAGTAGCGATATCAGACGGTTCAATGCCACCGATCCCCTCCTCCTTCGGCCCTCTGTATACCTTTTCTCAGCAACTTGAAATGTTATTATAATCCATTGTCAGCCATTCGCTGATGCCAATGTTTTCCTTATTCTGTCAAGGTGATGCAACATCAGCAGCACATGACGGGAGGGATGGCGGGGGTGAGACCACCACCTCCAGAGTACAAAGCGGCACAGGCGCAAATGATTCACGCTGGTATAGGAATGGGTCAACAGACGAGATTCCAAAATGCTGGACCTATTCGCAGGGTAACGCAACAATCAATGCCTCCTTCTGGTGAGTTTACATATGACCTATTCATTTATTCACATTCCAATTGTCAAGTGGCAAAACGAGATAAGTCAATTTCACTTGGACTTGGCTTTTGCCGATGCAGCACAACAGAATCACTCAACTTTTTCATGGACATGAGCTCGGCTTGATATTTCGTTTTAATAACTCACTGCAAGTCGCAGCAAAATTAAATGAGACAATGAGAAGATATAGCGCACTGCTGACCTGAACAACGGGCCAGTGAATTATCAAACGATTCATGGAATTTTGTCATTTTATCTTAACTATTGTTATTGTTATTCTTGGTAATTAGTGGTAGTTGGAGAAATTGGAGAATAGTCGTCGATCTGAAAATTCCGGCGGGTACATATATTTTGATTCCGTTGATGAATAATTAAATTATAAGCAAGTAATTCTTCGCTCTTCGTCATTGGATTCCCAACTGTTCGCTGAGAAAAATTGAATGGAAAGTTTTGCCTCTTTTGATCACTCCTCTAACTGATTTGCTGACGATTCAATGGAAATTGTATAAATGAGAGTTGAAACGGTGCGCCGATACACATCAGATCGATTTCCATTCGATTCTTCGGGGAATATCTCCGAATCTAAGAGAGATCGTGATTTTCTCCGCGGCTCTCATTTTTCACCGTAAAGAAAGCTATTAGAAAAATTTCGCTATCTACTCAGATTCCAAGATAGTCTGTAATCACGGATGAAGTAAAATCGACTAGTTCATTTCTCCACTTCACTGCTTAAATACTGAAAATCACTGTACGATCACCTGCTGTGAAGTTTGCGTGCAATAGATTGACGTTGACGGGTCCTAGAAAAACTCGGATAATGCGGAAAAATGATTTAAACGCGTGCGTGTCGAGATTTCGAATTCAAGCCGTCTATCTCGAATCTTTGACTTGAAGTCAACTGTCTCAATGTTTCCGGTCGAACTCATCTAGTTCAGATTTAATTTCAGAATGAGGCTAAATCAATCGCTCTAAATTACTATACATTATTTATCATGATATTTTATTGCAATTGCATATCATGGTATGCAAACCTACGGTTGTAAAAATAATTGTAAAAATGTAATTCCTATTGAGTTCATGTCACACTTAAGAAATGGCCCTGATTTCGTTTCTTCAATTCTTCAAATCGAAACATAATGACAGCCGTTATATATTTAAAATATGGTTAAATTACAACTTAATTATGCGCGTGCGGAGCGCTTCTCTCTCCTACTTATCAAATAGGGAGAATTGTTCAGTAATTAATATGTGGTAAAATGTAAAGTACCGGCGAAAATTCCGGATCTATGCAATTCAAGCGTATACGCACACCAACATAAATTTCCCTGCAAGTAGTACTTATTTTAATTAGTAGTATTAATTTTCATAAGTTATCCGAGTTTTTCTCTCAAATCATTCCCCCATGCAATAAAGGGAAAGACGTCGACAATATCAACTAATTCAGTTTCGAAGAGTTCATAAAAAATGTTACGGTCCTCTCACTTGGAATTTGAAGAGTGATTCTGTGCAAGTGTGAATACAAACTGAACAATAGTGGATTGAAGGTTGAAATGCGTTTTTAAATATTTAATAGGTCCTATGATGAGGCCACAAATGGCCCAGCAACAGCAACAGCAGGCTCTCCACGCAGCTGGTGGAAATATGTACATGACGAGTGGTGGTGCTGTACCGGGTGGTGGTGGAAGTGGTGCTGGTGGGCTGGCAGCGATAGGTGGTATGCATCAAATGCACCAGAGACTAAGTTATCCTAGGACTAACAACCAACGGCCGCCTAATGTCAGTGTTGGACCAACCGATGGTCTTGGGAATAGTATCGCTGGTCGTGGTGCACAACAGGAATGGCGTCATATACTCATGCAGCAGCAGGGCTTCCAGCCACAGATGCAGGCACGACCACAATTTAATCAACAGAGTCATCAAGGTAATTTTACTTTCATTAATTCTTACATTCCTGCGTCGAGCCATAAACTTTGCAATTATTGATGATTTATTTAATTCGTTTTATCTTCGGGTTTTTCTTTGAATTGTTTTATTCCGGAAAATTTACGGAGAGAGTTATTAAATATTCGGTGTGAGCTTGATTAAACGATTCATTTAGTTTATTACATTATCGTTTTTTTATTTTCAACAAGCGTAATAAAAGCATATTAATATCCCAAATTTGGGGATTATTGGGAATTCATTTAACTCATTTTACCATTTGCGTTTATATTGGTTTACTTTATTATTCGAAATTGAAAGATGAGAGTTGTTAAATGTTACGAGGTTCGGTGGAATAAATAATGCGTTGTGTTTATTATTTATGTTTTAAATTGTGAAATGGAAGCTGTAAATACAAAAGCCCAAACTTTTAGAGTTATTGAAGTTTAATTCAGTTCATTTCACATTTGTGTCTTTTATTGAATTATTTTATGATCAAAACGTGAAACATCATCAGAATTATCAAATTTTATGGAATGGGCTGAAATCAAGCATTATTCTGATTTATTTCACATTTTCGATTTTACAAATTTTCGTGTTAAAAGTATTCAATGGAAAGGCCCAATTCTCTCTCAAGAGAGTGACAAACTTTATTCAAAATAGTTAAAGAATTAAGAACGATGTTTCAATTGGACTGTCAAAGTTTTCATCACCGCTGTCACTATGAATTTATCCAGGTGGTTTTGGAATGGGCAACACGGGTGGAATGCAAATGAACGCTGCCCAAATGCAACACCAACAGCTAATTCGATCACAGAGCGGCGGAATGGGGGGTGGCAGTATGGGAAACAATTCTCAGATGCAACAATTACTCACTCAGCAGCATCAGCATCAAACTCTGGCAATGCAGCAGAGCAACAATCAGATGTCCATGCAGATGCAAATGTCCCAATCATCGTCTGTTAGTTCGGTGTCGACTGGTGGAACTGGTATGTTTCGATGAATTTTCATATTATCTGAGTGAATTTTACTTTCTATTTACTCCTCAAGTACTCCACAATTTTTTCAAACATATATTCTACTACAGACGTGCCATTTTTTTATGGGACGCGGAGGGTGCGCAATCGATCGGTTGTACAATTATCATGATTATTTCACATTAATTCAAAATCCGTGGAGAAATAAACAGCTATGATGAATTATTTTTTTTTGGAGGACTAGTATTGGAACTGATGGAATAAATGATGAAATGTCATGAGAATTATTCTTATTAAAAGAAGGCACCGTGTGTGTAAAATAACAATCCACCGAAAAGCTTGTGCAAGTGAGATACTTTGAGGCTCTCGATCCACTTCTCAGTCTACATGAAAATTTCTATGAATTGTCCAGGTTCTCCAATGCATCCACACCAGCAGTATGGTGGTGGTAGTCCAGGTGTTAGAAATATGCCTCAACAGCACAGTCAACCAGTCACCGCAGCCTCGGATCCATCAGTAGCAGCAGCTGATTTTAGTCTTGAATTTCTCGAGAATCTTCCCTCTGGTGATACATCAAATTTTAGCGCCCAAGAGCTCCTAAATTCTCTCGACTCAACGGCAGGTTTCAATCTCGATATACTATAAACAAAGAATTTTAAAAAGAAATCTAGATTATCGTAAACTAAATTAAAGATGAATCACCTATTCATACTGACCAGACAGGTTGGATCGATTTGAGACCACCGAGTGTGTCTAAGGCAGGCTGTTATATACTAGGCAATCACACTTTAGTCAATTTCATCTTTTTCATCTCTTATTTTCTACGTAGCAACGACAGAGGGGGGGATGAATAGGTGGAGACCGATAAAGTGCACAATGATCCCCTTTGAAATGTAAAAATAATGCAAAATTTGACGATCAAAGTGGCAACACTTGAAATTATCATCAAATTCCCTTGTGTCCGCTTATTCCCCTCTGACTCTCTGGGCATCTGAGAGTACCTGTATCGACGATGCCCCTTCGACGGGTACTCTAATGCAACTTTTACGTTCATTTTTTTTTTCAACACTCTTTAGCCACGTTTCACAGTAGCTAGGATCGTATAAATAAAAATGAAAAATCGTGTTACTTATAATTATTGAGTTGCAAGGAGAGAACGTCAACATCCACAATCAAAGCAGTGGCCAAGTGGTAAAGTGAGTTGTGAGAAAAGTTGTTTTTAACATTTTTTTAATCATCTGTTCGCCCCAAAAATTATTGACTGGAGGTGAAAGCAGGGAAAAACATTTTTGTAGCTGATTAAATTTTCTTCTAAAGGCTATAATTTTTTTAAGTAATCAATATTTATATATTTATATAAGCGAAGAGCGCGGTGTAGCTTTAAAAAATTTCTGAGTTATTAATTTGTTACGTGATTTATGATATATGGTTTGAGTTATTTTCATGATCTGCTTGACACAAATTTGAAGTCAATGCATATTTCTGTCCCTTGGAGTCGAAAGAACATTGTGAGAAAATTAATGTTTTTCGTTGATTAGCAGCACAAAATCGATTGTGCTTGTAATTTTTTTGACTCTCTAACATCATTATATATCGGAATTAAAAAAATTACAGTGTAGTTCTAACGTGGATTCACACGTTTGTTTATATTTCTTCCTTTGGCAGAACAGTAAAATTAGGCTCAATTCATTTTACCACTTTGCTATTCCTTTGAATGGTCCCCAATACTTACGAAATCGAATGAAATGTGACAAATTTCATATTTTCTTCCCGTCATTATTACAGTATCGGGGATTGGTTCGTGTACTATGACAGAAAATAAATAAAAAAACTATGATAGAAGAATATTTGGATGGCACGTACCCAACGTGATCACTAAATCTATTAAGCTAAGATAAAGTCAATTATAGGAAACACCTGAGAGGATAAACTAATTATGAATTTCTTTTCGTTGAGCAATCGCGCATATCGCTGCGAGTTTCTTGCCGAGAACGAATAAACCCAATAGATAAAGTAATTGAATCAGCCGAGAATAAATAAAATTGTCGTATGGTCTACATTTAATCGAGAAAGCAAAATATTAAACCTGTAAATACGTAAAAAGTAAGTAGCAAGTTTATCGAAAGGAGCCAAACCTAATTTACATTTAGGTTGAGATAGAGAGTGAATTATCATCACGTGATGGATGAAGAGGAAATTATTGTTGTCCACGTAATGCGATAAAACGCATTTGACTACTCTTCCGTAATTTATTTAAAAGCCCTCGAATGCGTTGTCTCGCAAGCAATTGAAATAAAAATATTGTGGCAATATTAGTCGTCAGTTTGGGCAGCTTCCACTCTCGGCGCAACGAACTATATTCTTCCTGACTCGCAAGCATCGCGTAATGGACAAATACCATTGTATTTACTCCTTGTAACATCTCTTAACCGTTTTCAAATTTTGTTTTCCATGAGGGGAACAGCTGAATAATTCTCTCTATTTCCTGCACTCGCGGGTGAAAATCTCCCTTTGTCTCCATGATACGTTGGCTAAATTCAATACGTGTTGTTTATTTATCCTCAAATAATTTATATACGAATTAATGAATTCACTCGTCAGTTCGATGTCGCCGTCGAGTGACGGATCTGCAATGCGGCTAAATCTTCCCAAAAATGCATAACGATATATACATTCCATGGAAGCCCACTTTGGGTGTCTCGCAATCAAGAAATATCTCTTTTCGTATTTGAAGAAAACGAGAAACACATCGATTTCAAACAATAGAACTACACGAGTCTAGACCTAGAGTTATGGGGGAATTGTTGGATAGAATGAAATGAGAAAAACATAGTTTATATTATCTAATTACCGATTATAAAGCTGTGGGTTTAATGGAGGACTAAGCTATCGAGTTGCAACAGTATCCACGTGAGCCACTGGTAGAACATTTAATGACAATTGTGTAATGCCCGATCTTTAATGGTATTGTCTTTTGTAAAATATGGGGGCCACGAAACATAATCTTACGACGATAAGGAACTGATTAACAAAAATCATGGGAAACATGAAGTTGAACTAGTTTTTGAGGATTAATGAGACAGGTGCTCTGATTCTCACGTCAATCTAGTGTTAATGTAAATCAAAAAACCAGGGGATTAGAGCATAGTTGATCGAAGGTAACTACTCGAAATTCGGTGGTTGATGCTTGAGCATTATGAAGGATATGACGATATGAGAATTTTTTCATTGGCATCTCACGTGAATACCTAATGAACGTGAGACTTATAAATGTGGAGACTTTCAGTTGAGCATAGGGGACCAACATTAATGGCGGGTGCTTTCATCGAATGTTACAGTGGATCGTGATTTATTCTATTGTATTAACAATTTTTTATTCTAAATTTTCCTCTCTCTGTTACGTTGATGAAAATGGTATTATTATTGGATGTAAGGGTGAAAAAATCTATAGCCAATTATTTATAATATTTAAAATAATTTTATATACAGTGAAGGAAAACATCTGGGCATTCGTGTATAGGATAAAAGAATGTTGAAAATTAACCTGTTATGAGAAATAAAAATACGTTGATGCTTTTTACTCACGTCAATCGAGTTATTTTTTTTAATCTAACTGAAATTATTCGATCTACGATCTACTAAGTGATGATCTCATTTTGTCTTTCGTTTACATCGCGATTGATCCTAATGGTAAATGGCAAATGTCGAGTTGCATGGTGAGAGACGTCTGACGGTAGCGCATGGGGTAAAAGGGAAGAGGATCAATATCACGGTCAGGGAGAAACTAGACCCGAAAATAGGAGTGCAGGAACTCCAGAGAGAGGGTTACCAGAGGAAAATCCTCCGAATAATTCTACCATCTTGCCTCCTCAACTCTTCATTTATTTAGACTTTTCAATATTTTAATGAACGATCCACTGTGCCTCCGCAACTTTACGCGACTAACTGTTCATTCGTCGTGAATACATTTCACTATTACGAGGTTCAACCCAAAATAATGCATTTTCCACAATATTCAAGTTTTAATCTCAAATTCTACTTGTTTTTGCAATAATTTGTCTGATGAGAAGATAAAAATTCATCGGACAGTGAATTGATATATTTACGCCGAAGAATTTTATGTGAAATTACTCTCTAGAAAAAAAGCTGTGAGAGATGAATCCGTTTTGAATTTTTTTATCAAAAGGCCGCTAAACTCAAAAACCAATTCTTAACAGAAATTTTTCTATTTAATTTAGTAGCGAAGAGGTAAAAGTCGAAAGGTCAATATGTTGCCTACTCCAACTTTCGAGGAGTATCTCTGGAGCTAAAGGAGATAGCGATTTTTCTCAAGACCTTTTTTTATAGAGCTAAATAAGAGCTACAAAAAAGGTTTCAACAACGATTTCCCTATCCCATTGAGATTGAGAGATATTCCTGGAATACTTACCTATTACCTAAATTTACTTTTCACCCTTTACCCTTTGGTTACTGAATTTTTTAAATTATTTAATTGGCAAAATAAAATACTACAGATCAGGATGAATTGATTTAGCATAGGCTATTGCTGTGAGATTTATTGAGAAATTATCAGAAGCATTACTCACCTTCGTATTTAAATCAAGAAAAATTTAAAAAAAATTCTCAGTGCTGGCTCAACCTAAACACACGATCAATCGATACATCCCGTTGTATCAGTATTTCTGCATGAATAGGGGGACCTTCGTTTCGGTATTTTGTAAATATCATTGGTTCGAGGGATATGAGAGAAGAAAATGAGTAAGACTACACGTGATCGTAATTTTCTCGCTTCTCATCGTTACGGTACCATACGATCCCAAAATCATCGGTTTCTTACTTTTTTAATAATTGTGATATATAGTTGTAAAATAACGATAATAGACGCGTTCATTTATTCTCCGGCAGAAGTTGACGGTAATTGGAAGTTATGCACTTTTTTCACAGCAAGAGGGAATAAAATTCAAAGCGGAAATTTACGAACACGTGTATCCAACGTATCATGGTATAAAGTTACGGAACGACTCAGAACGGGGGCGTTTCAAATAAATAATAATTAAATGAATAAACGAAAGCGTGAGGATAGCCTGTAAATACCAGCATTACGTTATTATTTATGTTGCTAATGTGAATGGAGGAGAATATGGTAAAGTTTAGTAATAATTGAATAATGAAAATTTTTGAGGAAGTAAAGGATAAAGATACACAGTGTGTATATAAACGTGGCTGACACCACAACTGGATCAGGATTACTTATCAGAGTAATTTCATTTTCTTTTGTCATTATCTTTATCGCTAAGTGAATATAACATTACTTATTTTTATTGTTATCATTTGGCTGATGATCTCACCGAGAAAACGAAAATTCTAATGTCGTACAATTTGTTATTCTCATTGAAGATGAAAAAGGCGCACTTCATATTGACGAATAGAAGGTCTGCGTAAGGGAAATGTAAAAAAAACGCATTATCAATTTATTTCAGAGAAAATTTTTCATCGTGCCTATATAATGCATTATATATTTTTCGCATTACGTTATGTGTATAATTTATATTCGAAGTACAGCGCATTCCAAAAAAAAAGAATAAACAAAAAATGAAGGATAACAAAACATTTCTTTAAGTTTTTTTTTTAATTTTCGAGTTCAGTACCTATTATTTAAGCTTTCTGAGAATGAATTAACATGTTTTCTTATTTTTTATTCGGGCTGATGTTGAAAATACCCTCAATGAGTTGGAATTATTAAGTTGTATTATTAAGTAATGGAAAATTATGGAATCAGATTATTCAGGATTAGATCAATTAATATAATTAATGGAGAGAAATGTTGAAAATTAGTGCAGAAAATAAACTGAACAAAAACGATGAGTTGACAATTTTGATTACAATTGAATGGACAAAATGAAATATGTATCAGTGGAAAAATTATTCACAAACAATGTTTTATTGTACGAGAGTCGAGACATTTTTTCATGTCTTTGTATATTTTTATGCAATGTTGTAGAAATAATATTGTTTCAAATATATTATACAGATAATGATTATAACAATAAACGAATTTATATGCGATTAGCTGTTTTTCTTTATTTTTCGTCATTATTTTTTTTTTTCATGTTTTCATGTCTCCCTGGCATATTTCAATTCCGGAAATGACCGAGTGGCGGAAATATGACGCCCTCTGACGAGTTTGCTGGAATTCGTTCTTTCTTTCGTGGGCCCCTCAACAGAAAGAGGAATAACGTGAGTATTCCACTATTTTCCCGCCCATACTCTCGTTTTTACGTGTAAAATTAATAACTGGAGTGCCTCAAATTTTTTAATTATCACGGTGGTGCAGAAAATTGAAAATAATTTTCAAATTTTTATCAACTTTTTACCTAAATCCAATGCCACGTGCAAGTGCGATGAATGAGGTTAGAAATCCCCTGTCACTGCTCCGAGGAACTAAATAATTTTCTTAATTGCAATAAAATATCGCAAGAATATGAAATTTAACGAGTGAAAATCTCCGTGTTTTTTATAGCAGGACAATATTTATGTTTGAAATATAAAAATTTTTATGGAATCCTGATTTTTTTGTCATCTTTAAACGATTTTTTTGAGTTAATGAAAAGTTGTTTGAGATGTTCTCAGTTTTTTTTTTTGTTAATGTTCAAACGTGATTATTCGAATAATGTGTTTTTTCCTCGTCAATCAGAATGGCGGACGCAGCTCCAGCCGCTCGTGGTGGTTTCCGTGGAGGTTTTGGTAATCGTGGAGGGGCAGGCGACCGAGGAGGTCGTGGAGGTCGAGGTGGTCGTGGTCGTGGACGAGGCCGAGGCCGTGGACGTGGAAAGGAGGACCAGAAGGAATGGATCCCAGTTACTAAGCTTGGACGTCTGGTGAGAGATGGCAAGATCCGCTCCCTCGAGGACATCTACCTTTTCTCCCTACCCATCAAGGAGTACGAGATAATTGATCAGTTCATTGGGCCATCTCTCAAGGATGAGGTGCTCAAGATCATGCCTGTTCAGAAGCAAACTCGTGCTGGTCAGCGTACTCGTTTCAAGGTCAATTCAAGATAGTGAATATTTTCGATTTTCCCCTTTATAGAAGATTTATTCATTATTTATTTATTTCACAGGCTTTCGTAGCAATTGGAGACAGCAACGGGCACATTGGTCTCGGTGTTAAGTGCTCAAAGGAAGTAGCAACTGCTATTCGTGGTGCAATTATCCTGGCCAAGCTTTCAGTCGTTCCAGTACGTCGTGGATACTGGGGTAACAAGATTGGTAAGCCCCACACTGTACCCTGCAAGGTCACAGGCAAGTGTGGATCAGTCCAGGTGCGACTGATCCCTGCCCCCAGAGGTACTGGCATTGTCTCAGCTCCAGTCCCCAAAAAACTCCTCCAGATGGCTGGTATTGAGGACTGCTACACATCAGCACGTGGATCTACCTGCACACTTGGTAATTTCGCCAAGGCAACCTACGCTGGCATTGCCAAGACCTATGCTTATCTCACCCCAGACCTGTGGAAGGATATGCCTCTATCTGAGGCTCCTTACCAAGAACACGCTGACTGGCTGTCCAAGAATCACAGACCCGTTACCAACCAGCGGTCTGCTGAAGTTGTCTCATAATTTTTAATAAAGTCACACTGGAGACCATAATTTAGTTGTTTTTTCAAACTCTTTATTGCTTCCTTCATTCATTTTGCCCCTAGGGAATCAACAATATTAAGGAATTCGTCATGCTTCTGTCATGCAAACGAAAAATAATTTATAATACAATTTTTTAATCTATTTATTAAAACATAAAATCCGTTTAATTGACTTCGATTTAGGAACATAATAACATTCAAACAAAAATTTACAATAAAAAAAAATAGTGTATTTTCCTCTTCTCCCTCTAATAGAAAATTAAATACAAAAGAAATTCAAATTGTTACAAAATTTTTGAGAAGTTACGAATTAATCTGTGATAAATTGATCGGATCGATTGATTTTTGTATTGAAGCAGTTTTTCATTCCACAGAGGTAGATTGTTTATAAGACTCCCACGCTCGAGTGAATGTTTTGGTGGTGTGATCGCATAATTTTTCAACATCTTCCAAGCCCTGTCGCAAGGCATCGACAGCTCTTCCTCTCTTCATCTGTATCCTAAAGTGCATTTTCGCCTCTGAGGGATGGGGCACAGTATAACCACAAAATTGTACGTCGGGACTGCAAATACAAGAGCAATGAAAATTTCAATTCAGGTGTTCTACAATTGACGATTTTTATTTATCATTGAATTCATTTATCCTATGCAATTCATTTACTTACTACTGGGAGATGACAGATCGCAAGACGTTTCCTAGTGTGTGGCCCTCATCCTGGAAGACGAATGTCCGGGATTTATCCCCCGTTGCAGCGTCACCGGCGATCTAATTGCACGTGAATTTTTTATTTCACACAGAAGAGGAACTTATGGTTTTTCAATTATCGAACATACCTCTGCTAATCGTCCCATGATGTTTCTTCCCTTATTATTCTCACTGTAAATTATGTATGTCCAGATAACATAAACAAACACACGTGCACTTTCTGATCATGTCACGTGATCGTCACAGCATCTGGCGCGGGAGAGAACAAGAACAGTTCTGGGGGTGTGAGTGACCCTAGAGGCATCGTAGTACTGCACCCCAAGAGAGGGATGGCGCCACACGCAATAGGGGTGTCTGCCCATCAGCCGACTCGGTAACTGCCTCACTGAGAAGATGGCGCAACAGAAAATTTTTAAAGTCACTCATTATTAAATAAAAAAAAGGATCAAACGGTTCTTTTATTTAAATCACTGGTTTTTCGGATAAAGCAATATTTGAAATCATGACTCTAGAGATTGTGGGAGTATTTCAAATATAATTTCTAGTCAATTTAAAAAATGCAATTTTTTAGATTTAATAATTGAAAAAAAAATTTTAATAAAGATGCATAAAAAATGGATATGAATACTCTCCAGCATTTGTTTCTCCTGTCCCCAAAATTGAAGCTCTAAAACAAAAGAATTTCATTCAAATCATTTCAGTCACTTCCCCCGCAACAAGAAAACGTCAAAATTTCCGTATAATGTCTTCAAACATTTAAAAATCCTCGGGTTCAATCCTGAAATCCAAAAAAACCATGAACTAATCGAGAATCAAAATTGCTATTAAAAATTAATCGTTTGGAATCTCCATAGAAAAAGTATGTTAAAAATTGTTTAAAAAAATCCCTGAAAGGACGATGGCTGGGCGACAGAGCAGGGCATTGGGTGCACGTCCTCGAAAAACGAAAAGTCAACTTCTGCGAGAGGCGAAAAATGTGGCAGTGGTGGTGCCAGAGGGAGGGGCTGCAGGTGGTGCAGGGGTTGCAGGGGGTTCAGGGGCCAGGGCAGAGGCAAGACCAGAGGCACGTCAGCCATCTCGAACTCGGCAGAATCTTGCTAAGCTCCACCCGGCTCCAGGGCCACCCCGGAAAGTCGTCTTCAACAAGCCGAAGCCGACGAAAGCGATGATGGCACGTCAGGCAAAAGCGCAAGCCCTCATCGATGAGCAGGAGCGCAAGAAGCAGGCGGAACGGGAGGCGCAATTGGCTCGACGTCGAGGTCCTCGTCGTGCACCGGGCCGGAGATCACAGCCTCCACGAGCCGAGCAGATCGAAGCGGCAGCCGCAGAAATTCTGGAGGAGAGTCGTCACCAGGCAAGAGCGGGTAATGCGGAGGTGGTTCAGGCGGTTACTGTAGGTGATGGCGAGGTAGAAGAGATTATAATTCCCCCGGGGGTCGTCAACGAGGACAGGGTGACGATTGTGCAGATAGTGCCAGCGGAGGAGCAGGAGGAGGCGATGGCTGCTGCTGCTGCGGCCGCAGGTCCTGCAGGAGAATCGCCACACGCCAGCCTGAACCGCTCTATTCAAATGATAAGTCAGAACCTCAATGATCAGGAAGCTGCGGAGGCCGTGGCTGTCCAGGAGAAGCTCGACGATTTCCAGCAGGCCAGAAGGGACTTCATCATGGAACTCGCCGCTGTCACCGCACCTGGACTTGATTCTGATCTTGGTATTCTCGATATTGATCGACTGCCTCTGGAGGAGTTCGAAGAGCCCCCGCCGCCCTCACCGCCGAGGCGAAAAATCTACCGAATACCAGACCCTGATGACGAGGTATTCCACCTGGAGTACGGGCGTGATCATCCGGCAATCATCGCTGCCAGGGAATTCAGGGCGCGAAAGGAGCAGGAGAAGAGGATAGAGGAACGTTTCCGGCAGGCGGCACAGGAGGAAGACTTTGATCTCGATGTACCGCTCTACCAGAATATTATGGATGCCGATATATCCTTTGAGGAGGACGAGCAGGGCTCGCTGATGCCATGCAAGTCCAGGGTCAAGGCCCCCATGCCCAGGGTGCAGCCAAGGGCCGGCCTCAGATCTGAAGCCATGTACTATCCTCATTCGACGATAAAGCATGACGTCGAGGAACTGGAGAAGTTCTTTAATATTGATAAGTATCCACCTATTCCCAAGTACCGGCCCCCCAGGGGTCGGGAACAACTCCCTCGTGATCTCTGGGAGCTCGATGATCCTTGGTATAACCAACCTTGCCAGGCTGATGCCCCCGATCTTATTGACTTTTCTAAGTGATTGATCGACTCATTTTATGCCCATTGAAGTTTCTTCGAGAGGAAAATTAAAATGAAGAGATTAAAATGAAGAGATTTTTTCGTGCATCCATCGATTGTCGCCGATACTATTTGAAAATTCATCAATTTTTTTCATAGGCTCTTCTTTATAAACAACATCGAAATATTTTGTATAAAAAATAAACAATCTTTGATATTTTTACTAATTTTATTGAATTGATAGTTTCTGTTGATTCAATGCATTGTAAAAAATTAACTTGGATAAGAAAAAAGGCTTGCATCGAGATTTTCTTTCTTCTCAAGACTTTCAACCAATATTTCGTGACAAATCGCCGGAAATGGATTTATAAATACATTCTTCATGTCGCCGACTGACTCATAAGATGATATTTTGGTCATAAATGCAGTAGTTTTTTTAAATATCCACTAATTCGAATAAAAATAAAATTGTCATAGTCATGTTAACATATTTTTTATTCACAACCACCGGAAATCAGCTCCTGAATGCATTTCCGGCTGGACATTGCGTCAAATTCACAGGGCAATGTTTTACTTTGAATCATTACAAAAACTATTCATTACTCATGCACTTTTTCCTACGAATGTGACGAGTGGGGCAGACGTCGCAGCATCCGCAGGGGTCTTCAACTCCTCTCCCCTTATCACCCTCCTCCGAGGCATTATCACTAGCAGACTGACGAGCGGATGCGTCAGTACCCCTGATAAGGCGATTCTACAATTATTTGAATAAACAGTTAACTCAATCTCTCATTTCTCCTCCCTCAAACTCTACCTGACGATAAATTCGTCGGGCGGTTATCGTGGGTTCATTCAACCTCATCTCCGACGGCGGTTTCGAGAGCCTCCATACCTGCACAAAGCAAGTACTTCACACTCATAAACCAATAAATTATAAAATTTTTGCGGGCAACAGAAACAGCAAAGAAAATCACAAAACTTAGATTTTTTTCGATTTTTCCATGAAAGTAATTAATATCAATAACACGTAAAAACGCAGTCTAAACTACAGCAAAAAATACAAACGCGATTCATCAGCTCGTCCTCATGTCTGCAAATATCCAGATCCTTATCATTCCCATCGATGAGGATGAAATCCTTACTCTCCTCCCTTCCAGTCATCCTGCCATTAACGACCATCCGAAATTATCAAAATCATGCAATACTAATTGAGCAATAGGTCATCCTCAATGAATGGTGATTAACGGACTTTTCGTCCGAAGGTCGTGAAAGAAAAAAAAATGTGACTAAGAATTTTTCAATAAGACATTCATAACCATTAACGTGTGGTTAAACTACCGCATGCTACCGATGTGACGCATCGATGCCATTGCCAATGCTCAGCAATGACAGCTAAGTCATACCACACACTGACAAATGCTGACACGCCTTATTGTTTAGCAATGAAGGGAGCAAGAGTTGTTCGTACGTGAGACGTTTATTTTTCTTAGAGAATATAAGAAACGTGGTGTGTTATCCCCTGCTGATGGCCCCTCCAGTCCCACGTCAATGAACTAGAGTGCATTAGTGTTGGTCGAGAGTACGCTAGGCATTTTTTACTCGTAAGGCACTCGGGTACCAAATGCTCGACAGCTAGAGACAGCGCTACGAGCGTCAAATTTTTATTACTCTTACTGTTTAGATGTGCCAGATTAATGGATATATTTTTGATCGATTGGGTGGATTTTTTTTGACTCCGGGCTCATCCGAGGCTGAGGTTAGATGAGGTGGTCTAGCTGATTGTCACTGTGACAATGGTGTGGAAGGAAAACGGCCAGCATCTTGCCGTGGGTGAGTGCAAGATTATCATTAGGAGTTTATATAGGTTAATACTTATAATGATTGTGAAGTTGTGGTTGTGTCTGTCTTCAACATCCTGGGTGGTGTCTTGGGGAGAGAGATTCTTATATCCAGTGCATCAGGATATTTTTAGGAGAAGCTGGTACTTGGGGGGATGACAACTCTCCTAAGGATTGTTATCACTATTGTTAGGCATTATTGTGGAGGTGGAGATTGAATGGGAGAGCGGGAGTATCTCAATTGATTGGAAATTACGAAATTGCAATCTTCGGGGAGATTTTTTTAAGCTCATGTTTTATCTCGAAGTAAACAGTCTTGTCATGATTTTTCTATCTCTCTCTCCATGACAATAGAAGGATTTCAAGTTGTTACGATAATTTGGAAATTGACTAATTAAATCATTTTGATCAACAGCCATTTACAACTATCGGCAAGATGGTCCACACCGGCTGCAGCTCCTGGTGGGTGATGTTGTTCAGATCCTGGAGGAGACTGACGACTGGTACTTCGGTTGTACGAAGTACAAGGGCACCAGAGGAATATTTCCCAAGTCCTATGCACATATTCTTCCTCAATCGAGGATCATGGAAGCCCTAATGCACGAGATAACCAGTGTATTGCGCGAATGGGGTCATCACTGGAAACATTTATACGTGGTAAATATTGTCCATCGGTCGATGATTCTCCCTCACCCTCTGTCTTCCTCATTAACTCAGTAGTGAAGTCAACTGTGCCATAACAATTCTGCAGATTATTTCACAAACATCCCTTCATCAAATTTTATTAATCGATGGCCCATTTTATTGAAACAACAATTCTCAGAAGTTCATGAAATAAAATTACGATCCTTCTAACTTATATTTTACTCTGTTTTATTAATTTATTTGTGTGACAATCTCTGGAGTGATTGATGATTATGAAAAATGTAAAATTCTCGGTCTCAATCCTCTTCCAGACAAACTCCGAGAACTTTAAGCTGATTCATCAGCAGATGTTGGAGCTGATCGGCCACAGATCGAAGATCCTAAGTGGTAAACTAACAGTGGACGAGCTGAAAGACATGAAGTGCTTGGCAACCTCACGTATTGACACAGGAAATCAATTATTAGGCCTAGACATGGTGGTGCGTGACGAACACGGTAACATTTTGCATCCAGAGGAAACCAGCACAATTCAGCTCTACTACCACCACGAGACAGCAGCCGAAAGGATTCGTAGAGCGGCCACAGAGACAAAGAAGAAACCGCTGAAGCCACAGGTGCCAGTCTACTCACATATCTTCTTCGTAAGCGTTAGAAACTTTGTTTGTAAAATGTCGGAGGACGTGGAGCTCCTGCTTACACTCTACGATGGCCGAGAAAACCGGGCAATCACCGAGAACTACGTCGTCTCCTGGAGCAAAGAAGGTCTAGCAAGAGATATCGACCAACTGCATAATCTGCGAGTCCTCTTCACAGATCTGGGTTCCAGGGACCTCTCCAGGGACAAAGTCTACCTCGTTTGTTACGTAATCCGCGTCGGGGGAATGGAGGCAAAGGAGGTAGACCACAGACGTTCGTCCATCGTCCAGCAGACAAACCACAAGGGCAAGTCCAGTGCTGACAGTATGAGAAGACCCTTCGGAGTGGCTGCCATGGACATCACCCTTTACATAACAGGAAAACTCGAGGGTGACGTTGAGCATCACCATTTTATTCCCTTCGTTCACTGTGAGAAGGAGAGCCTCGATGGCACCTTGAGACGAATCCTCGCTCAGAAGGAAGCAGGAACCCTCAAGTCCTCGTCCACTGGAGGTAATGGAATCCCAGTGGGAGGTCAAGGCCTATGGACGAGCTTGAAGCTCCTGCGAGGTGATACGAAACAGGTCCGTGACGAATATCCCCACCTGGTCCTGGGGAATGTGGCAATAGCCAGGAAGATGGGATTTCCAGAGGTGATCCTCCCTGGAGACGTCAGAAACGATCTTTACCTCACTCTCGTCTCTGGTGAGTTCAGCAAAGGCTCGAAATCCACTGACAAAAATGTCGAGGTAACAGTGAGAGTCTGCAACGAACACGGTCTACCAATTCCAGGTGTCATGACTTTGGGTGGAGGTACTCCCTCAATCAATGAGTACCACAGTGTTATTTACTACCACGAGGACAAGCCACGATGGTGCGAGACATTCAAGATAGCGGTTCCAATTGAAGAATTCAAACAGGCTCACTTAAAATTTACCTTCAAGCATCGCAGCTCCAATGAGGCCAAGGACAAATCCGAAAAGCCATTTGCATTGAGTTACGTGAGACTTATGCAGCGTAATGGAACGACCCTGCAAGATACCCAGCATGAATTGCTAGTTTACAAGATTGACAATAAAAAATACGAGGAGAATGATATTGCGTACTTCAAGTTGCCATCGACTCGTGCTGAATTAGTGGAATTTAGTTCTGAGAAAAAGCCCGGCATTGGAGCTTTGAGTTTATCATCTAAAGATAGTTTTTTGCTGTCCACCAATGTTTGCTCTACAAAGCTCACGCAGAATGTTGATCTACTGGGTTTGCTGAATTGGGCGAGCAAACCTACAGATCTCAAGGAATCCTTGGCTGCTTTGATGAAGGTTGATGGGGAGGAGGTCGTTAAATTTTTGCAGGACGTGTTGGATGCTCTTTTCAATATCCTCATGAGCAACTCTGACTGTGATTTCTACGATGACATGGTGTTCGAGTGTATTTTATATATCATTGGACTTGTCTCCGACAGAAAGTACCAGCACTTCCAACCAGTTCTCGATCTGTACATATCCGACAGCTTCTCGGCTACTCTTGCGTACAAAAAACTCATTGCTGTACTGAGGAAAAGGATCGATGGAGCCAGTTGTCAGTCCAGTGATGGACAGGAGCGGGATATTTTACTGAAGACTATGAAAAGTCTGCAGTACTGCATGAGATTTATTGTCAAGTCCAGGATGCTGTTTACTGAGTTGGGACAGAATGAGGAGGAATTCTCCCAGACTCTCACAGATCTGCTCAAATCTATTGTAGATCTCATGAGGCATGAGACCGATGGCACTTTGCTGGTTCAGGGAGCATGTTTGAAATACTTCCCCACTACTATTCCTCATTTATTGTTGGTGTACAGTGGAAAGCAGTTGAGTGTCATTCTGACGGAGCTCCTCATAACTCTGCCACCTGGGAGGCTCACCAAGCAGAAGATGATGACTGTTAATGATATTGTTCACAGTCCTCTTTTTCTCAATGTTGACTGCAGGGCCATTCTCTTGCCGAAGATTACTGTTCTCGTCAGGGATCTTCTCGAGGCCAAGGAGGAGGTGAGTAATACTTCCATCTCCATGATCATGGAATTTTTTCTTTATTTTTTTTCTTTCTCTTTGGAGTTTTATTAATTACTTTTAACACGTTTTTGGATTCAATCAGTAGTGATTAACTGCATGCTGTATGCTATAATTCATCTGAGCGCACGTTATGCACGAGTAATTGATATTTGGGGGGAAGATTTTGGAGGATGTAGTGAGGCGGTGAGAGATCGGCTTAGCGATTGGGAACGGTTATCTCTAAAAATAACACAACTTGAAATATTACAGCTATAATATTTCAATAAAACACACATTAATTTGCAACATTACAAGAACAACGAAAAAACATAATAAATTCTGAACTACATGTTTGAAATTTTTCCATCGAAAAAATGGCATTCGGGTCATTTTGAAAGAATAAAATTGTTGGGAGATTATTTTTTTTTTTATATCAAAGGGAGAGCGTATATCGGTTTTATATTTAATTGTCATATATGGCGAGTAACTTACGACTCAATTGGCTTTCTGCATCATTTTTCCATTTCGATATTAATAAATCAATCTCAACTAGGTTCCGCGAATATTTGAGACAGAAAACGTTTGAGGGGAATTTATGAATCAATGGATATGTAAAATCATTTGTAATCTTCCTCTTCACCACTTCATTACAGATTTAGACATAGACAAATTGAAATTAACATGTTTGGGGGATTATGTTTGTTGTACTTTATTTTTTTTATGGTTTGGTTTGGTTTTGGTGTAATCGGCGTATTAAAGGGACTGTCAAGTACGTCTGGAAAAAGTGTGGCTAAGGTAGCTAGACTCCTTGGTGAGAATCGGCATCGCCTGAATCAACACCGTGGCTATTCTGAGGAGGTAGTTTCCTGATGGTGATGTAGTATCTACAAAAAAACGCATTGGCACATTTTTTTCGTTCATTATGTTTCATTTTTTTCATCTCTTTAATTTCTTGGATTTATTTTTTATTCAATTCTAAGAGTAGTGTAGTTTTTGAAATTGATTTTATTCCTGAACCAGTGGATTTGATCCGCAGGTGGAATTGTGCGTTAAGATTTTGTCGGATATTCTTGAACTGACGTTCAGGAAGGACGTGGGTTCCACTATCTCGGATGTCAAGGAAATTATGATAACAGCGCTGAGGACTGTTATACAAACTATTATTCCCATGGACAGGGAAAATCCACTCGTAGGAAATTTAGTATCCGTGATGCTCTCAATATTTAGGTAAAATTAATTGCTCAACGAAAATTTGCCTCCCCATCCCTTATCTCCCTCAGATTTTCAGATCTGGAGATTTCACATTTATTTTTTTTTTATAAAAAATTATCTATACCTAGACAAATGACCACTCATCACTACGAGGTTTACACGAACCACTTCGCGACCCCGTGTGACTTATTGGATTTCCTGATGGAGATCCTGATGGTCTTCCAGGACCTCGTCTCAAAGCCAGTCTTCCCTCCAGACTGGAGTGAGATGATAATGCTTCAGAATAGCGTGATCCTAAAATGTCTACGGTACTTCTCCGTAACGATCCGCAGTTATTACTTCAAGGACTTCGAGGAACAGGCGTGGTCCAATTTCTTCCACTGTGCAATAGCTTTTCTAACGCAGCCCCCGCTGCAACTGGAGAACTTTACACCTTCAAAACGCAATCGAATCGTGAGTCGTTATAACGACATGCGTCGAGAGACGGCTTTCGAGATTCGTTCAATGTGGTTCAACCTGGGCCTTCACAAGATCCTTTTCGTACCCGGGCTGGTAGGTCCCATCCTCGAGATGACTCTGATTCCTGAGGCAGAACTTCGTAAAGCAACTATTCCCATTTTCTTCGACATGATGCAGTGTGAGTTTTATTCATCCCGCATCACCGAAGGCTATGGCGACACTAAGCGCGAGCCAAAACACATGCGAGGCAATTTCAATAAATACGAGAATGAGATGATTGCTCAACTGGACATACTGGTAGAGGGTGGAAGAGGTGATGAGCAGTTCTGCTCGTTGTGGACAAAAGTGATGGGTGAATTGTGCGAGGGTCACTCCCAGCTGCGGGACCAGGGTTTAAGGTTCGTGGATACAGTCGCTAAACTCATGGAGCGACTCCTTCAATACCGGGACATCATTCACGCTGAATCCCAGGAGCACCGTATGATGTGCACAGTTAATCTCCTCGAGTTCTACTCAGAGATCAATCGCAAGGAGATGTACATCAGGTACGTCAATAAATTGTGCGAGCTCCACCTGGAATGTGACAATTACACAGAAGCTGCGTACACTTTGAAGCTTCACTCTCAGTTATTAGATTGGAGCGATCAGGCACTACCTCCACTTCTCCGCTCAAATCGCTATCCCGCATGCAATACTCACAGGGAACTCAAAGAGGCTCTCTACAACGACATGATCGATTATTTTGACAAGGGGAAAATGTGGGAGTGCGCCCTGGGGGTCTGCAAAGAGCTCGTCGCTCAATACGAGGAGGAGACATTCGATTACCTTCAACTTTCAATCCTACTGAAGCGAATGGCCAAATTTTACGATGCCATTGTCAAGCAGTTTAGACCGGAGCCGGAATACTTCAGAGTGGCATATTATGGAAGGGGACATCCTCCCTTCCTCCAGAATAAGGTCTTCATATACAGAGGAAAGGAGTACGAGAGGCTGGATGATTTCTGCTCGAGAACGTTGAATCAGTTGCCCAATGTCGAAAAGATGAACAGGCTTTCGCCACCCACTGATGAGATCATGGAGTCCAATAGTCAGTATGTGCAGATCAATAAGGTAGATCCTGTGATGAATGAGAAGAGGCATCGGCTCAGTGGAAAGCCTGTCACTGCTGAAGCTATTCTCAGGTACCACAGAGTCAATGATGTCAAGATGTTCAGGTTCTCTCGTCCTGCTCCCAAGAGGGACACCACCTCGATCACGAGTCAGGCGAGTCTTGAGAAGGAGAACTCAGATGGAAGCTGTCGTGATTCCAAAGCCAGTGCCAATAGTAATGAGTTCGCTTCGCTCTGGCTTGAGAGAACACTATTATGCACGAGTCATCCACTTCCTGGGATACTCAGGTGGTGCCCCGTTGTTTCTACTGATACTTATTTCGTCAGTCCTCTGAGCAATGCCATTGAGACGATGGAGGCAACCAATACTGCAATCAGGGATCTCATCGTAGCTCATAAATCCGATATGAGTCTGCCGTTGAATCCGCTGAGTATGAAACTCAATGGGGTACTCGATCCTGCTGTTATGGGGGGCGTTGACAATTACGAGAAGGCTTTTCTCAATCAGGGATATAAGGAGAGCCATTTAAACGAGAGCGCTGATTTATTGAAGCTCGAGAGTTTGATTGCGGAGCAGATTCCTTTGCTCGGAGTTGGTGTTCAACTTCATAAAGCCAGGGCACCTCTCGAGCTCGCACCATTTCATCAGAGGCTCGAGCAGTGCTTCGTGGCTATGAAGACACAGGTTGAAGCGAAATATGGCAAGAGAGTAAGTAATGTTGATACCTGTGATAACTCTTTATTCTCAAAGCAAATGGTTATCTGGAACTTATTTTTTGTACAATTAAATTCATTGATATTTAGTTATGAAAAAAATATAAGAGTATTGCCTATAAAATTCTTTTTTGTATAGTGATGCATTGAAAATAATCTACGAATGCATTTGTCGCTTATTTAAATGATCAATTCATATTTAAACTGGGTGTTTGATGGATGTTATAGACGTGTGATCTTCAAATTGAAGCGATGACTCAGCCCGTAACCATGAGAAGGCATAATCATAACAGAGGGGACTCCCATCGTCTCTCTGACAGTACGAGTATAGTCAGCACATCCGAGTAAGTTAATTATCATCATCATCCTCATTAAGCCGCATTTATTTCCTAATTTTTGGTTAATTTCCGCAAAGAGGTGGATGAGAGAATAACCGGGCTGTCCACTAAACCTCTTATGTCGCCTTTTTATTTACCATTTTGTGATTTAGTTCCGGTGTGCGGTCCAGAGTATCTTCCCTAACGAGATCACAAGTTGCGACACTCAAATCGTTCGCAACATTCAATTTTAACAACAGTACAAATAATGCGGGTGTACAAAACGCCACTCTAACAAGGTAAAATGATAAATCAACGAAATCGAGAAAAAAATGAAAAAATTTCTTGAGATGCTTGTGAATGGAACTTTACGCTCGAAATCTATCTCTATTTCCCTCTACTTATTACCTCATTTTTTAACAACGATTGCCTGCTAATAACTATAAATAATTACGAATTGAATAATACCGGTGCGAAAGAGAGTGAGAGCATTTATTTATTTTGAAAAATAATGCCAAAGAGAAACCTGTACCTAGCGGAATGAATTTCCTACCTCAATTTTTAATTATCTTCCACCGTAATAAAAACCTATTAAAAAAACTGTTCAATAAAAAATAATTCCTTGAATGATTCTCCTCGTTTTCATCACTCTACCAAAATGAATAATACCGAACAGTTCCACGGTACTAACAATGAAAAATTCATTTTTCATTTTTCCAGGAATAGTTCAGTCCGTTCTCACATCCTATCTTCCACGTCCCTGCACAAGGCCCTGAGTGCATCGAGTACAGGGACGAGTAAGAAAAAGGACTCGAAACGCAGAAGCTCTCGGAAATCGGACGCCACGGCGGGTAAAGATCTGAAAGAATCGACATCCCAGTGGTACACGACTCCAGAGGTATCGAGCTCCCCAGTGACATCTCCAATCTCGTCGATGTCATCACCAGTGGCGACAGCTACATCTCCCCCAGTATTTGAACTTCGCCAGGAGCTCACACCCTCTCGTCCCCTGCGCTCCGAAGTGGAGAAGGAGCGCAGAATAAGCAGCAGATGGTCTGGTCAGTCACAGGGATATTACCTGAGAAATTTGAATAGTCAGGAGGACATCAGGAAGAACAGAGACAGTGTGGGAACAACTGACAGTACAGCCTCCGAGGACGATCCACCGCCTCCTCTGCCATTAAAAATGAGGGAGGCTGATTATTGCAATCTTCCACAGGAGAGCTCCATTCCCCCATGTGACAGTATCGATAATGAGCCTGAGGACTACGATCAGGGCTTCATCGAGAGCCCTGTCAAGCCACCCACTCCACCTCCTAAACCTAAACGTCCACTCAAGCATAAGATAGCTCGTCTGGATGAGGCCAACATCATGCAGGACTCATCAATCGCCTGACACTTAGATTTATCAATGTTTTTGGAGAACTTTTTACGGAACATTTATTGCCATTTGACAGTTACGAAGGTGTTTTTATATGTACCTTTTGTATAACTCAAAATAATCGTTTATTGGGTAACGGCGGTGTGCCATTACGTATTAACAATGTACTTTATTTTTGTACAATTGCCTCCTGTTGTTTTCCACGTGCTCTAATCCGAATTCCTGCAGAGGGAAAAATTTACGACGATAATTCAGGATTTTATGACTATTTCGTTTTTCACTAAATGACTCACTCATTCGCGAATTTAATAGCCTAATTTTTTAATTATAATTGAAAGGGAAGTTCGATAATTGCATGCATTTGGAATTATTGAAGCATACGTTGAAGATGAAGGGATTTATATGATTAAGATGTTTTCGTTAAAAAAAAACTGTCATATTGGAATCAGAAGGTATTTGATTCGAAATGGCGTAATTTACTCCCTCTGCGCATTAATTACTCTTTTTAGATATAAATAACGATGATTGTTACCGTCCGGTGGTTATTCGATGTTACGCACAAGAGTAATAGTTCCGACATGACATTTTGAATCTAATCGACTCGACAAGATATGTCAATGTGCTACGTGATAATGATAATTGAACTTCCTAATAATCATTATGAAAATTTAGATGAACTTAAGAAAACGCAATGCTGAGATACTTTCAAGGCCTTTTAGGGGAATAGATATGAGTGTAGACCGTTGTACATTGTTTCAACTCGTGGTCACATTGATTTATTAATTTATTGGAATAATAAGAACATTGACAGTGAGTTCGTATGTTCAAGCCAAAGAACGCGTAATGATTTTACAGAGAAAATTTATATAGCTATATAATAATTTTATATAACTTATTTACAAGAAACCTGGACTGTAGGTATTCTCCTTTTTGTATTAATCGTAGTGCCATTTTTCTGATCAATTATTAACTTTGGTTTTATCATTAGTGAAAATGTTATTGTATTATTTTTGGGACCAATTAAACAAATTTTATACGTTCATTAATATGAGATTGGGTGTCTGTATTAGTTACAACCTGAATAATAAATTTTTTCGTTCACACCGAGTGTTTCCTTGACGACGAAACAGTTTGGTGCATTTTGCTGTTTCATCGAATTATTTTGTGATTGTTGGGAGTTTATTATTTGATAATGGAGGGGTCGGGAAATTATCGGGGGAATATTGTCAAGTGGTTGCCGTTTATGAGTTCTGATTTGGAGAGTTGGTTTAATCATGTTGTCGCGTTGAATGAGGCAATGGATAAATGCGCCAGAGATATCGCCATGATAATTGAGGATGTGCAGGGCTCCATGAGCATTCCTGATAAGGAAGTAATTAAGCTGATTTTCTGAGAATTCCCTGAATTATTTCTGGATAATTTGGCATTATCGACAATGTGAGCATTTTCTCGACTGTTCTTACAGGTGTTTCTGCGTCAACAGACGAAACAATTAGGAGTACTTGTTCAGACTTACTCCGCGATTTGGTCGGACAAAGAAAAATTGGTCATTACTAATCGAGTGTATAGGTATAAAGTCGAGTATTTAGCATCCAGAGTGAAGCGGTCTCTCAATATCGTCGCAAAATTCTGCAGAAATTTGATTTTTGAAATAGTCGTGGACTGCTGTAAGGACGATGGAAAATTCACGAGACTTCTATTTGGGTCTGTACCGGGGTTGAAATATTTGAATGGAATTTATCTATAAAAATCAAATTCTTGTTTAATTATTGCATTTTGCATAAGATTGGTGTTACGGCGGGAGGGGTATTTTTACGAAACCTACTGATTTTATTTTAAATAATCGAGCAGACTCGTCAAGGCTTACAATGATGCCCTTGATTTAGACTGCAATGTCTCCTCACAATCCACATCAGTGAATATTTACTCGAACGATTGTCCATCGATGCTGGAGCCCTTGAAGAAAATTTCAGTTACCAGAATCCTACAAGTAAACATTTACAGCATTCTCTTCTCAACAATTTTTCTCTCATGACTGACAAATTTTTGTCGGAAGGTCCTAGCGAAAAACAAAGCGGAAGAGAATTGCCACGAACTCATCGATTGTCTCCTCATGAATTATCAACCGAGGAATGAAGAAGAGATGAAATCCCCGCAATCTTGGGATGTGGAAATGTCTGAAAATTCGAGTATTGAAATATACCGGTAAATGTTCATAATTAAACATTCCCCCGAAAATTGGAGTCCCGTGACTTTCTCTTAAATTTTCATCAAATTTCTACACAACATTCTAATGAAGCCTCAAAATAATTCCCTACGGACAAAAAATAGTATTTTTCATGAAAAATATTGAACCGACATTAAACGATTGATATATATCCGGATGCTTCAAAATCATTTTAATTTAATTTCTGAATTAGCGCCTTGACAAAGCACATGACTCCACCAGGAGACATCGCACTCCCAACCGAGAAGAATAATCCCGATAAAATTGACCCAGTGAATTCGGAAAATGTGGAAAGTATAGAGACCCTCGTGGAAAATCAGTCTCTCCACGTGGATAAACTCATGGATGCTATACGAGAAATTTACCCGCAATTATTCGGGATGGAGAACATCAAGTATGACTGCCGAGGTGAGGAGTATGTGCTCTTACCGCTTTTATTGCACTCCGTGCGAAAACCTGCGAATAATGAAATACTATTTAATGCACGGGACTTCGCAGGTGAGACGAAGGTGAAAAAAAGTGCATTGACACGGCTCTCGGATTACTATCAACATGTCGTATGGGCCGCAATATCCGGTATATTGGATCATGTCGTGCTCTGGTGGTCCCCCGAGGGCCTTGCTGCACGTCACAGCCAAGGGGCACATCACCTCAAGGACTGGCTCCGACGATTCATCCAGACGAATGAGAGTAAATGTGTTTTAACACTATTCAAATATTATACACAGCTAATAACTGATTTTGCGCTTAATTACGATTATTGACAGTCTCATCAATCGTCAGACCAGCACTTCTGAACCTCTGTGATGCCCTGGGCTGTCACGTCACAGCCACTTGCTGGGATGAGCTCTTCAGACTAGCCTACATCGCATCCTTCGAGTGCTGCTCAAAGCCCTTTTCCTCCGAGGTTCGTATTTTCCCTCTGGATGTCACTCATTCACCGTAAAATTCTGATAATTCCGTTAAATCTCTGAAGGGAACGGACACTGGCCAGATGTTTGCTGAATTATTCCA